AAACCGAGTCTTTTCGAATTCAGTAGTACGGAGTGCAACTTAGTCCCAACACCTGTAATCTGTTTACCTGTCGATATAGTCAGAGGCCTTGCGAATGTCCAAGTACCCAATGATCATTGGTCTGTGGTAATCATGCCGGTGAACTAGCAGCTGCCATACGATGAAGATTTGATCGATGCATTCTCGGTTGGTGAGAAACCCAATATAATCCCCACACGTTTATTTATTTATTTTTCTCATTACACACTAATGTGATGAACAGCAGACGGGTTAAACCCCGTAGTCACGAGGATATAATTGATGAAGACCGGTAACATACGACCCCTTTAGGTTAGGCGTGGTATTGAACCGGACGACAGGAAAGCCGCCTACCACCAAAGTTGGGTGTCGGTTACGGGCCTCGAACCTTGGACCATAGGGTCTAAATCACCGTGATGATGGCGACTAAATCACTAACGCTAACAGCTTTGACGCTATTGGGATGAGGCCTATTCCCCTGTATTTGCTATTCAGCTTGTGCACCATTTAAACATAGTGTTGTTTACATTAATGTAGCCGGTTTTTAAATCTACACTATTGTGCTTCCTTCCTCAAAGAACTTCTGGTACTCCATTTACGCGGTTTGTATTTAGTTCTTTATTGATCAACTAACGAAAATCGTAATTCACTCGTTTCATTTAATCTTTCCTTCCTCTGATCACACAATGTGCGCATGAACCCATCACATCAAGCTGCATATATGATACCATTTGACGATTTCACACTTACACTGCCTGTTTTCAGACCAGAAGTTTCGCTAAGTGCGTGATATCCTGTCTTTCCAGACTACTCCAGCTTACTATGTATTTAAGAAACGGAATTTTCTTTTCATGAATACCCTCAATTTTCATAAAATGATCTTTCTTCTCACTTGCTTTTTTTTCGGATTCAGTGCAGCCGAAACTTTTGACCACATTTTCCGCTCAGCCATTGGTTTGTGACATCAACTCAGATCTCATTGCGGACATCTATGGCGAAGTCCCTAATAACTCTCGAGTTTTGTACTACGGCGGGTAAGTTTGATCGTGCCATCTTGTTCTCGAGTTGATGTTAACAGAAAATTCATCAATTCGTAATGATAAACCGTATTTGAACACACCTATCTCACTCAAAAATAATGTGGCGAAATTTCATGACTTTGTTCGCTGTACTGTCCTGAGTTAGCCACAACGAATTTGTTTCTGAATAAGGACACTTCATTGTCACAGAACAGAACATTGTAACAAAACGGCCAATTGCGGTCAATTTTAGTTTGAATGAATGAACTACCAGTATAATCCACGGGAATTCTGAACTGAAACCAGTGGTTAACGCAAGGCAGACCAGATCTTCGGGAGGTAGCAGACTTTATTGGGTGTTCAACAAATTCTCCTTGGGAGCAGGAGACGTGGCAGCCATGGGCAGTGAGTAGAGAACAGTGTAGTCGGTAATGGTTCAGAAATCGCGGTGGTTATATAACAAAACGGTCAGTGTGGCAGGTCAGTAAGCAATTTGACAGAAAGCAACGAGCAGGTGTTCGTGCGTGCAAAAGACCAGATTGTCAGCAAATGCAATCGAGAGAGGGAGCAATCAGAGTTGCTCACGGACAATCACGTGTGCACACAGTCGATAATTCAGGATCGCGCAGCTCGCTGTAACACATGCAGACCAAGGCCAAGAAGAGCAAAAGACGCAATGGGATAGGGCAGCGAAAAGCGGGCGAGTGAAACAAACACGGTCCAGTCGTAATGGCTTGAAACCGACTAGCGAATAGCCTTGGTCGAAAGTCAACTGGCTGGTCGTCACGTAACGGTACATCTACATCTAGTCCGGTTGAATCCCTGTGGGGACTCAACACTACTTCAAGTGGTAGCCACTGTAGATTTTATTGCTCAAGTTAGATCCCCGGAGCAGTCAGAAAGACTTCTTGGGGGTTCGCATGCAATCCCAGTCAACTGGACAGATAACGGAGAACGTCTACTCCAACTTTGTAGTGACCACGGATTGTCCCTGCCAAGCACAAACTTCTCGCACAGGAAAAGACACCTTACATAGAAACCACGCACCTCTTCACCGCAATGGACTCAAATCGACCTCGGCTGCCCTGCTGGACACTCGCGATCCTTCCAATACCAAATGCAACACAGCGCTCAAATCTCTAAAACCGCAGCTCTTCAAGAACCTGTTGAATGACCGCGAGAATTGATGGATAAGGGAATGTAAAGAGATGAAGGCTGTGGCTATCTATAATAGTCGCAATCTTTTTCGTTTAATTAGGAGTACGGGCTCAAGGAAAGTAGTCATAAATGAGTTACTTAAGCAGTCTGACGACAAACTGTTTCATATTCAGCAATACCGTCCTGAACGGTGTGCAGAACATTTGTAAGGCACAGTTCAGCTGGCCCCCGTCTACGCAACACCTCCCAATTCCTGCTTCAACTGGGCAAATATTGCTGGTAAATATCAGTCCTCCATCTGAAATGGAGGATTCCTGGGAAATAAACTATCTCAAGTGGCTTAAGGCCCCCGACCCAGATGGCCTGTTCCCATCGGCTTTTAAGGATGGCGGTTCTGCGTTAGTCTTGAAGTTGACAAAAATCCTGGGCTCAGTACGGTAGAGGAAACAGTTTCCAACGAAATGGCGCGAATCGGTAATCATACCGATTTAAAAGAAAGGCGACAGATCCTATTGTGAAAACCACGGAGGAATCAGTTTAACCAACATCATATCTAGACTTCTCGCTGGCATTATGCTCCGTCGGTTGTCTGCAGCACGTGAAAAGTGCATACGTGAGACTGGTTTTAAAACTCTTCGAGATTGTGTCGACCGCATCGTCACTCTTCGTCAAATTTTATAACACGGACACTTTTCATAGACCCACCATTTCTATCTTCCTCGGTTCCAAAGCGGCTTTCGATTCACTCGACCGCTCTGAACTCTGGCATTGCCTCTCTCTGAGGTTTGTTTTATTTATGATATCTCTTCATACTAACAGCCGAAGCCGGGTCCGAGCTTACGGCACTTTTTCGCCCGAGTTCACTACAGAAAGTGTTCGTCAGGGGTGTCCCCTCTCCTCGTTTCTATTTAATTTGGCCATAGATTTAATTCTTCAAACTGCCCTATCCTTGTACGAGGATAGCGGCATCCTTTCGCTCCTGAATGGTAGACTCTCTGATCTGGGGTATGCAGATGACATTGCACTGCTCAATAAAGATCCAGGTAAGGCACAAGCGTTTCTGGATTGTTTGAGTGCCAATGTAGCATGCATTTTGCACCTTCGAAGTGTAAAATATTGTTACAAGATTGGGATGTTCCAGCTCCCAGCGTCACTCTAACTAGAGAAGCCATTTGGGCGGATATATTTTATCGGGTAGAGTCATCACGGCTAACGGGTCGGCATACATACAGAAGACTCTGTTGGCATTTGCCAACTTGAGACATCTGTGGCGCCGTCGCGACATCCGGCCTTCTATGAAGGGTCGAGTGTATGCTGCAGCAGTTCGGTCAGTGTTGCTATACGGCGCAGAGACATGACTATTACGAGAACAGGATGAAAATAGTCTTGGCGTTCGATCACTGTCCACGCCGCATTGCACCATTCTGGTGGGGGCCACCGGGCGAGCAATGCTGAAGTTAGGCGCAAAGTTTTAGGTAATCGCGGTCGTTCACTGGGGCACGTGTTCGACCTCCTTAGACTACGGTGGTTGAGGCATGTGTTGTGCATGTCACTAAATAGGTTGTCTTGGCGCTCACTATTTGCCGAGGCAGCAGAAAATGGAAAAAGGTTAAGGGCGATCGAACGAGGACCTGGCATAATGGTACGAAAACCGGGAGACTGGATCACATAGGTCCCATAAGGCTCCTTGGATGGGGACCCCGAGATCATGGCATCCGGTGGTTAGAGACTGAACGTCGTAAACAGTGGCGCTCGTCCATGTACTAATTACTCGCACCCTTCTGTTTGGTTTCCATATCTTCTCTTAAATTCGTCTGTCAACATTCCAATCTTCATTCCGCTCTTTTGTCCAAATGGGCGACCAAAAAGCAACTAAGACTGGCCCACGAAAATGCATAGTTGGAAAAACTGACACTGAAGCTGAACTATATCATGCACTGAATCGCTTGTTAATTCGTATGGCGAAACAGGTT